CTACATTGCCTGTACAAACTTAACGGTACTGGTGTCATATGTATATAAGTGTAGTATGGTAAATTCGTACACTTAAAAACTGAATTTTGATTACATATTAAAATGTTGGCATTTGGAAATATATGGTTAGAAAGCAAGATCAAACAAATAGTTATCACAACACTCGACTCTAGTTGTTTCAGGTATTTTCATTATAGCAATGTACTTACGGTGTGTGACAGATTTCCGAACTGCTGAAAACCTCTCCGGAACATGCAAGTTTGTTTTTCCGGCGCCAACTACGTACTTCCATCAAATCAAATTATAGGATGTTTCCATATCAATAAGGTGTCTAAATATAGTACACAGAGTAGCTTGATAACCCACTGTACATGTACGTCGCATCTTTAACACAGAAAACAACACCAGCATATTTATGTAAGCCTTTAATTCAACATGTACGAACATAGATGCCTGTACGAACATACACGGACGCACTCTAGTTGGTGATAAATATAATGTACCGATTACAATTTTCATGGGTAGTTGGGTACATATAGCATTTGAGACCTAAACCTGTTTAATTGTTCAACAATCAATACAACATGAACATGTGCTTAATTCAATGGTGGTTTTTAGCTCACCTGGTCCAAAGGACCAAGGTGAGCTTATGCCATACCGTGGCGTCCGTCGTCCGTCGTCCATCCGTCAACAATTTCTTTAAACGACTTCTTCTTCCTAACCACTTATTGGAATTTTACTAAATTTGACTGGAAGCATCCTTAGGTGGTGGGGAATCAAAATTGTACAAATGGTGGGGCTGACCCCCCAGGGGGCTGAGGGGCGGGGCAAAAAGGGGGCAATTTGGCTATATTGCTTTAAGCGACTTCTTCTCTGGAACTAAGAGATGGATATCAACCATATTTGCCTGGAAGCATCCCTAGGTGGTGGAGATTCAAAATTGTACAAATGGTTGGGCTGACCCCCCAGGGGGCTGAGGGGCGGGGCCAAAAAGGGGGCAATTTGGCTAGATTGCTATAAACGACTTCTTCTGTAGAACTATGCACTGGATATCAATCATATTTAATCAAAAGCATTCATGGGA